CTTGGGCGTATGCCCGCCTCACATCATCATACAACGTTGTAGATGGGACTGAGGACGTCATAACCGCAACAGTGACTGTCTCACTGTTGGGTTTCGCGACTGTTTCAGAGTCGGGACGACGTGAGAGTGCATCAGCGACGACATTAAGTCGTCCTGGTTTGCACTCGACCGTAAAGTTGTATTCTGCAAAGAATGACAACCACCGCGCCATTCGTTGTGAAAGGTGCGGGCCGTTCACTGCCGTGCGTAATGACGCATGGTCGGTTTAAACAATGAAGGGTCTATCTCCTAAGAGATAGACTCTGAACTTCGCGAGTGCATACTTCATGGCAAGGAGTTCCTTGTCATGCACTGGATAGTTCCGCTCAGCTGGTTGCAGCTGACGCGACTGATAGCAGACGACGCGTTCAACGCCTTCAAGATCGTACTGCATTGATGCACAGCCGATTGCAAAATCGCTGGCATCACAGACCACATGAAGTGGCCTGTCTTGATCGGCTATTGCTAGGACTGGGGATTGTATCAAGCTCTGCTTGATACCATTAAAAGAGCGCTGACATTCAGCGTTCCATAACCACCTCTCGTTCGTTTTCAACAAACGAGAGAGGTGTACAGTCATCTCGGCGTAATTGAGTGAATACTTATGCAAATACGCCGCTCGCCCAAGGAATTTTCGAAGGCCTTTGACATCAACCGGCACAGGCCAGTCGGTGATCGCCTTGATCTTTTCGGGATCAGGACGTACACCGTTCTTACCAACGATGCACCCAAGAAGTGGTATTTCGCTTGCTGCAAATATACACTTCTTGAGGTTTACATGCAATTGATGCTTTCGCATGATTGTAAGAACCTGTCGGACGTGGTACCTGTGGACCTCAACGTCCGACTTTCCATCCATAGCTCGACTATGGATGAATGCGTCATCGAAATAACTCGGCGCGAATTCTCGTACTGGTCTCAACAGATGTGATACACATCTGTTGAACGTGGCAGGGGCATTACTAAGCCCTTGTGGCACTACTAGCCATTCCCAGAGCATGCCGCTAGGCGTGCTAACTGCGGTATAGGGTATATCCCGTTCCCGCATAAGGATTTGATAGAAGCCATCCATCAAATCCATGGACGAAAAGATGGTACTCTTTGACATACCATCTATGATGACGTCCTTCCTCGGTATCGGCGTCTGAGCCGGTACCGTTGCAGCATTCAACTTGTTAATTGCATGCACTATCCGCCACCCTCCTGTTGCTTTTCGCACACAGAAGGTCGGAGAGCTATGTGGGGAAGTTGATTCCCTCACATGGCCCGCAGCTAAACGATCGGCAAAGAACTTGTCGATCGCAAGTACTTGTTCACGAGGCAGTGGCCACTGCTTCATGACGCAGTACTTCGAGACTGGTTTTAGCTCGACCTCGTGTCGAATACCATTATCCTTCGGTAATTCGCACGGAACAGTTTCAGGGAATACATCCTTGAATTCAACCAAATCTTCATAGAGAGGATTTGTCTTGAGTGATTCCCACGATTGGGAGTCATATCGCTCAACTCGTGTCTTTTCATCGAGGACGCTCTCGTCCATCGATGAACTGTTGAGAACCCTCTCGTTCTCAGTAAACACTGTTGCTGACCTTATGTCGGATACACACTCGTCGTCAGCAACGAGTACGCAGATCTGCTTGACTTTGCCACTACGCATATCACGCAAGAACCTTATATGTTCGAGCGTTGGCAACTGAGTGATCTCCGAAGTCAACTTCGGAGGCGCAATCAGATCAAGTGTATAAGCGCCTACACTTGATCCGTTATTGACTATGACATTCAATGTCTCTGTCATTTCCTGGGGACTTATTCCCTCAGGCCTCGAAGGACTTATTCCTTCGGCTTCACTGGGACTTATTCCCTCGGGTTTCAAGGAACTTATTTCCGCCGTATCTGTAATATCGGGACTTATTCCCTTAACTCCCTCTAGCTGTGGTCGTGCAACCACAGCGAGATCCTCTACGAAAGACTCTCCAGTCGATCTAGGATTATCGTTTCGCTTAACCTGAGCGATCGGTTGTTTCCCTTCTAGATGTTCCCCGCTAGGGATACATCTTTGTCCCAGTCCACCTAACTTATTCGAGTGGTGGACCTTCGGCGCAGCCTGTGTTTCCTCACAGCCGCCGGAACTTTGCTCCGAAGTGTAACCGTTTGGTACACTAAGGTTTTGTGCAGTCGTACTAACGACCGTACCACAAGTGAGGCCATCGCATTCACTCGTAGTACATCCACACGCTTGTGGACGCTCCAAAACGTTCATAAGATGGCCATCTGATGAACAAGCGGCAGGCATCGTTACTGTTCGATGTTGCCAGTTTACCCGTGGTTCGTACCTTCTGAGCCACGGTATTCCAAGGATGACATCAAATTTGTCATCCAAATCCAATACGATAAAGTCATCGTCATATTGGGTATCTTCTAGCGTATAGTGAATCTTCACTATACGCTTCATGACGGTTACGGATGCGCCTGTCGCAAGACGTACCGTCATCCTCGTAGGAGGTGTGTCACATTCACTGAACTTAAAGTGACCATCTTCTAGCGATTGGCGTCGCACAAAATTGCTGGACGCCCCACAATCGACTAGAGCTCGAAGGGACAACTTATTCGTCACTTCGAGTTTCAAGGTAATGAGTGAGATCTCATTACCTAGCAGCAACGCACAACGTTTGTGTGTTGGGAGCAACCTTCATCAAGAGGCCTACAAATTCTCTTGACATTGCTGGACCAGTAGGGTGCTCCGCACCTACTGATCCTGTCCGTTTTTTGACGGTCCATCCCGTTGTTGCGTCTTTGCACCAACAGCGGACCCTCGTCCCTGCCCCTTTCTCATGGGTGGACGGTCACTACGCCCAGTGTCGCGAGACACTGGACGAGGGGCACTTCACTCGTAAGCGTAGTGTCCTGTCTTTTGACATCTGTTGCATCTCTGCAACTTCTTGTAGCCTGTAGAGCGAGCCTCCTCGCTCTCTACATAGCAGAGTTTCATCGGCTCTGGACCTCCGATGTCATATCGTCTCGGTTGACGATATGATGTCGAGCTGGCGCGAGCCTGTCTCAGACTGAAGTCTTCCTGCTCCGCAATGGAAATGGCTTGTTCTAGTGAATCTAGTTCAAGCTGGAACAGGTGAGTCTTGACGGGACCATCCGCAAGACCCTGCATGAACACCGAAACCAACGTGTGTTCATCCACCGGATTGGAACTTATACAACTCGTAAGATGTCGTATATGTTGCGCGTAAGCGTGCACATCACGCTTACCCTGTTTGAGCTTTAAGAGTTCGGTTCGAGTTCTGAACTTAGCTCTAGGCGGTTCAAACGTTTGTCTGAGCCGCGACTTGAAGACTTCCGACGACCCAAACGCATATGGGTCGTGCAACTTGAGCCCCAGTGCCCAAGTCTTGGCACCTCCTGACAGATTTGACTGGGCAAATGCAACTTGCATATCCCCGTCGTCGATGCGACGCGCCCTTATGGCGTCATCCAATTCGACGAACCATCTCAAGAGGGAGTCCTCTTCGACTCCCCTATACTTGGAGATGTCAATCATCAAGGTTTCGGGTCGACGCGAATGCATCGACCCATCAGCAGCAGCCTGCTGCTGTCTCAACAGTTCAAACTGTTGAGCACCCTGTTCTCTCAACAACTCTGCTTGTTGAGAACCTTGTTGGTGAAGCAAGGCTACTTTCTCGCGTTCAGCGTCAAGTTCATTTTGAATGAACTTGGCGATAGTAGCATGTTGGGCATCTCTATTGAGAGCCTCTAGCATGACGCTAACAGCATGGATGCCCATGGTTGAACCCATTCGTTCAACCACATCCCATTCGACATCGCTCAAATGGGAGTAGCCGTCACGCGTAGCGTGAAAGCTTTGGTCATTTCTTTATCCAACAGATTCATGTTGGATGTGAACGTGGTCCTTGGACGGACTACGGACAATACAACACCGTCGTGGATCGCTGAAGCAGATGCCGAAGCTTTCTAGAATGTTTATGGACAAAGAAGAAGCTGTAGCCAAGAAGCCAGCCATACTTTCTCTGCATTGATTTGTGGGCGCACCCAATATCGCAAAAGCATACCAATCTCTTTACTACGGTCGTAGCCAAGTTTCGCAGTTGTTAGTGGGCACGACTTGCTGTCCACAACCTGTACAAACAATTTTTATGGGCTCATGCGACTTCAACGGAAGCCAGCCGACACAAGATTAACCCGGGACTACTTTTCACCCCCAAAAAGGCAGGGGGGATTGGGTTGGCCTCTTTGGAGGTGGCTATTAAAACGCAGCGTACCAAGCACGCTTTACAGTGGCTCACACAAGCTCAGGACAAGTATTTTGGAGCCTGGAGTGCGTGGGCTTATCAAGGCCGGCCGACAAATTCGAGTCTGGTTCTCCATTGCAGGACGCAGGCAGCTGGGGCTGCATCGTGTGTCGGGGCACCGTCCCCAAATTCATGGGTACCGGACGTTGACAAGCTTCTACACCCTACGGTAGAGCAAGCCACCATTCTCAGCGAGCGGGTACGAACGTACTACCACCCCATCCTCCACGGCGCCAGTAGCTGGTGGGAGGAGGAGGAATGGGTGCTGTCGTATCATCACCCTTTCCCGGCTGGGTTACCTGCGCTCGATCCTCAACAGTGTGCGATTCATCGCTTTTGGGGGACACTAGGCTGGAGTAATAACCCGTGGATCCAGGACGGCAATGGCCTCTCGTTAAAATCCGCTACCTATGACAGGATCGCCATCTGCCCCATCTCGGACCTGCACATTCGGCGAACAGGGCCAACTGAATTTATTTTTCGCATTAAGCCGGTTGGACCCCGATCTTTTCACCACTCGCAGCCTAAACTCCGTCGGTGGGCGACGGCAATCTTGCTGGCATCCCCTACGTTCCCCATTGGGGGCGAATTAGCGCTCGAACCTGAGCTGGTTCTTCGCCATGCACCACCTTTTCGACATGAATGGACCTGGGCCTCGGTCCAACAAGGTCGAGTGGTCGGGAGGCGAGAGGGGGGTACTTGGAAGTCGCTGACCAGCCTGTTGAACTGCAGCAGAGTGCGGATGGAATTCGCTGGTTTTTCACCACTCACCTACCAGAGTTATCTACTAATTCGGACGAGGACAGATCCGTTTGGGCCCTACGCTTGCGTCGTCACGGCGTCGTGTTTTACTCCCATCCCGGGCATCATGGCTTTCCTTGGGCCGTCGCCGAGTCGGTCGCGAACTTAGCTATACGAAAAGCTATTTCACGCCTGGCGTTCACGTTTCACAAAGACTTCTTGCAGTCGCATTGCGACCGCTGGTGCGGCGTCTGGAGGCCGTCTGTGACTTCGATCAGTGGCAGCGGGCTGCCGCAAACCAAGACCCGGCACACGTTTGGAAGCATGACAATGGCCTTTCCGACCATCAGGTCTGGACGTGTTACCGTATAGCCACCAAGCAACTCAACTTGTACCATGCCGGCCGTCCGGCGGACAATAGTTGCCGGGCGTTATTGGCGTGTCACGGTTGCAAAAGAAACGCCGGCTCACATCTTTTGGGACTGCCCCCAAGGCGCGCGCGTGCTGGGGTCAACTCATTACCCATTGGACAGGTGAACGGGCTGGGAGGCCGTGGGAAGAGCGTTGGTTCGTCGGGAGTGTGAATCGTCACGCGCCGGAGATACCGTCCAAGCAGCGTCTTCGGATTTACCATATGCTCCCGGAGGACTTAGAGGCTGGTGTCGCGGTTTGGAAGCGTCTCTGGTTTATTATGAGCAGCATTTGTCTGACTCACTTATGGAATGAGCGGAACGACGCGGTTTTTCGAGGAGTGCAGTCGACGCCTCTCCACAGCGCCGCGCGTTTTTGGGCGCTGGGAATTCGACATCTTACCGCGTTAGCAAAACGCGAACATCGCGGTCCCGCCACAGCTGTCACCGGGGCTATCATGCATACCTGTATCGACCTCTTTATTCTCGAACCTCGGGATAAGCCGATACCTTTAGGTGACAGCCACGACAAGCTACCAGTTCCGGAGCTATTGTCCTGGCTTAGAAGTTTTCAGACATCTTTAGCATAATCATATGTTAATAGACGGACATGACAACAAAAAAAAAAAAAAAAAGTTTCGCAGTTGTTCTCAAGGAACATTCGAAGCTCGTCGACTGAGATCTCGCTTGTTGAAGTCAAAGGACCTTCGTAGGCACAACACGTAAGAGCCGTGGCAGCCCAGGCCCTACGAGCTGTACGTTTTGATACAAAAGCCCAGTCGTGCCTTCCTTCAATCTATCTGGTAGATGATTCCCCACCCCAAGACTCGTGGATGCTGGCGACTGTTTTAGACCGTAGTTCGGAGCTCTCACTCCCCATTTCTCCTCCAAGTCCTCACCTCTAGTCCAAAGCCGATTCAACCCTCATGCGCCTGTGTGCCAATCTGCTCTTGATGGCGGTTCCCCTGCATCTTTGTTTCAGCGAGGTGGCCCCGATCCCTCCGAAGATGGTGAACCCGTCCCTTCGTTCGGCTCCTTTTGCTGATGCTGGTGCACGCAAAGTCGCCCGATCCCTGCGAGAGCTGAATGCGGCGGCTGGTAATGGCAAACTGCCGGAGTCGGTCGCCGGGTTCGCAGGACATGTCATGCCGGCACAAGCCTCTAACGATGTCTCGGGGGCAGTCCAACGGGCAAAACTGAAGGAAGAAGCCATGTGGGCCGAATACTTGGCTGCGCCGTATGTCAACCTGCCTCTCGAGACCCGTTTGGAACTAGAACGTATTCCTTATGGCCAGAAGCCCAAAGATTCGACTCCGGAAAAGTAACACGCTTCCGTGGTGACGAGGTGACAAAGGGGCTGCAGCGATGGCCGGAGTGCACAGAAATTACTGTGTCCGTAGCTTACAGAAAATCGCACAAGCTAAAGAGACTGCTAATAAAAAGCGATGAAACTTGATGCGTTATAGGAGGTGGATGAACATGTGTAGATGCCAGAGACCCATCGTTTGCTCTCCTTCTTTCCCGCGTATGTTATCTGCCTGCATTTGTGCTTGAACTGGTCCTTTTGCTGTTCTGTCGTTAGAAAATCGGTTGTGCTCTAGGTCTAGCAGTTGGTGTCGCGTGCAGGAGAGTGGGTGGACGTGGACGTTCCCTATCGTCGACTTCACTTGGCAGCAGAAGAGTCGACGTCGTCATCACTGCTTCCGAACAGAGCGCAACACGCAAGCAAACACTGGTACTTCGCAGAAGCCTGCAAGACGCTCGATGGGTCAAGCGTTGGCCAGTTGGTTGGTAACACAAGTGCATCACTTGATCGAACGATTGCATCGATCGTTACGAATGTGGGATATGCATCGGTTGAAGCTGAACTACTAGTTCATGTTCGTTCAGAATCACCGATGCATGCACCACATTCGAGCTGTTCGCTGCAGTCAGAAATCGCGCAAGACGACGCAGCAATCGACATGAACAGCGTCAAGACTTGGGCTATCAGTATGACGAAGCAGTACTGATGTGACAAGCTACACCTTGGCACTGACTGGATGAGGACATCCACACGCTCAACAACATTGATCACTGGGGAGGTTGTCCTAATTTACTGGCCAGGGTTGCGGTGGACGTAGCAAGCTCTCAACGTGTCAAACTTCACGGACTCCAGCCCGAGCATTGACGATCTTGCGAACAGGGCGTGAGAAAAGTGTGGATGGAAAGTGGAACACGTTGCTACCCTCCTAGATTTATATGCAGATCACTCGAGTGAACGAGTCGTACCAGTGGACACAGCGACTGCCCATGCAATTTGACGCATGATAGAGTGTGCTCACTACGAAACGCATTTCGTGGACGCGACCTCGTAAAAACCAGCGCGCATCGACGAGCGGTGGAATCGGTGAGTGGCTTGCTGATGTCGTGTCTTGCGATCGAAACGAGGAAGTGCGTGAGTCGAGAAGAGCATTTGGTGCAGAAGTACCCAGCACTGGGTTACAGTCGTGCGATAGTTTATGTAAAGACCTGGGTGCATTGTCGGTGGAAGTGCACCCACCACTCACTCTACACAGACTCATCCATGAGGTCCGTAGACCGTACTTGTGTCCTGACCTTCGAACACTCCAATCACGACGGCGTCAGGTCACGTCATACCTTGGCAAGAGCGAGTAAGATAGACAGACGGACAGACGGATAAGCATGATTGGCATTCAACCTTGCGCACAGCCACTAACAGCTTCACCTTTCGGGCTCGCAATAATGGGGATCCCATAAATCTGCACGTGCCATCACATTTCGCCGACTATGTCGCGCGAAAGTGGCATCAAGTGAGGTAATCGAGTTCTTGAGTGGGGACGCAACGGAAGACTTGACACGTCCGGCACGAGCGACTCGATGTCCCCATTACTGCTATGTGCGGAGCGCTGAAGAATCGATACTTTTACATCTTTCGTGCGCTGACGTGCTCGCCATTCACACGTCGCACCTTGCTCCGGGTCAGGCTCGATAGGAGCTGCGACGTTCCCAGCGAATCGACTGAGAGATTCAATAGCGTCAGCTGGTAGCTTGTACCCCCATCGCTGCTCTTGGACAACACACAAGAGCTCATGCAAGAAAGCACTGCCACCGCTGAGTGTTGACTCGGATCCCACTAGGAGCAGCTTCTGCTTGGCACGCGTAAGCGCTACATTGATACGTCGCCAATCCGTGAGCAGCTCACCCACATGATTTTCCTCGTTGCATCGAACGAACGAGACCAGAATCACGTCCTTATCCTTGCCTTGATACTTGTCGATTGTACTCACTTCGACCGAGTGAACCCAGTCGGATCCACCAGCTCGACGGTGTGCAGCAATAGCAGTCAAGTGTTGCTGTATCAACGCTATCTGCGAGCGAAAAGGCGAGATAACTGCAATCTCTTCGGCTGGCACAGAGCCCAGCACTAAGAGCTCAACCAATCCAGCAATCAGCTGTGCTTCAACAACGTTTTCCACGCGTTGACGACCGCTTGTACCCATTTTTTGCGCAGTTTTGGCGCTCTCTGTAGTCGCGCTTCCCATTGTATCTGTGTTCATGAAAATGACACCTTGCTTTTCCGTCAGTATTTGAATATGCCATGGCAGTTTGTGTAAGCCAGATTCTTGGCGCTGCCACCGTACGTCAAGATGGTTTGACGCGACTTCAAAAGAGCCACACTTGAGCTTACCGCCATACACCAACCGATTCGCCAGCAACATGATGTCTCTGTTCATTCGGTACTGGAAGGACAGCTGCTGAGTCGCTTCGGGGTGAGCTTCTGCTAACCGCCGAAACAAGCTCACATCCATACCTTCTTTACGAGCCTGAGCATCCGCTACGAGCGGCGGCAGCTGGTAATGGTCTCCCACCAGCACAAATGTATCAGCGGAGCGAAGGGCACTCAGGATAACAGGCTGCGTGATTTGAGTGGCCTCGTCGACGATGCAAAAGTCGAACCGACGTTTCTTAAACAGCACGTGGCTGTTCACGCTCAAGCAAGTGCACCCAACGAGCTGGGCGTTGACCAACTTGGCCTCCATGGTCTGCACGCTCGAAATCTCCTCGCGCTCAGCTTGTCGATCAAGTGTGGACTCCGCAATGTGGGGATGCACTTGAGCGGTATTGCCAATACGAAGCATGGGAACGTTACACGCGAGCAGCTTCAGAAGTAGGTTATCCACAGCAGAGTGAGTGTAGCTCGTGACTAAAACCGAAAACCCGAGAAATAGTAGCACCCGCACGGTGAACGCGACCGTCGCAGTTTTACCTGTTCCTGGCATTCCCAGGATTAACGCGTAGTCAAGCGAGCTCACTACACGCTCGACAGCTCGCTGCTGATCGACATTAAGCTTGCAAAACGCATCGAGCAAGGCCTGACCAGACGCTGCGGCAGTTCTGTCCATAGAGAGGTCCCGGCACCGCTGTGTTACAAGATCAGTCACCCGGCATGCAGTAAACTGCGGACGAGTGAGGTGCACAATCAAGTTTCGTCTTCGCACGTCTCCAGTACCTGGCACAGAGTCGTCACCACTATCCCACACAGAAGTTATCGAGGTCGTGCGCATGTGTAACTCAGGTCGATTCCTTAGTGCCGTGCCAGCTGAGATAATCTCGGGTGGAGGTCCAATAAACAATTGCACGAGATTCTCTTTCGCACGTTGTAGGCCGCTCATGATTGCATCTTTGTCTAAGCGCCATGTGTACTCTTTCCCAACCGCAGACTGACCGCTCATCACAATCGATGGAATACATTGACGAGTCTCGATCGTTATAAGTCCGTGTTCAATCTTGCGAACACTGGCACGAGACACGTGCACCAGCAAATTCTTTCCATCTAGCGATTCTGCTGATAAAATAACACGTTCATCCGCTCGAAAACGCACTCCCGCAAATGAAGTCGGCTGCCAATCTGCTATACTTCCCTCGCTGTTCGAGCTGACATCTCTTCTTTTCCGGCGGTCACGAACAAAGCGCAGCGTTCGCTTTGTTCCTGATCCTGGCTGTGACGGCTTGTCAGATACCAACTTGAGATGTGCTAAGCAAGTGCTGCTCTCCCGAGCCAGTTCTCTTTTCAGCCCAACCTGAAGCCAAAGTGCTCGGAGGTGTTTTTCGGCATGCTGCTGCTCTAGCATTATGAGACGGTTCCATTGCCGGAAATAACTTAGGTCCGCCTCACCAAGATGCTTCGTTTTGAAGGTGAAAAGCTCATCAAGACCACTCGATTCTTCTGTACCGTTTTCTATTGCTGCATGGACCAATACGCACTCGTCCACCTGAAAACAGCGCTCACAATCCCCGCGGTTTCGAATCATTGGCGGAAAGACCTGACCTGATGTGGAGCTACCGATTGCTTTCACTTTGTCGATAGCGCTGGCAAAACCATTGCGTGCCATTATGAGACCGCGAACATGAGCCGTTATGGCCGTGATACGATTGGTCTCGATAGCCGGAACGTAGATAAGCAATCCATCCTGGCTCCGTTGACGGTAGCGCTCATTCAGCAGGAGCGTGTACAGCATTACTTGACCCTGGTGCTCGTACCTTTTACTTCCAGTTTTCAGCTCGAGGGGCAAGACTTTAGTCTCTGCACACACATCATTCCTTGGCCCCTGACCAACGATAGTTCCTTCGACGGAGGCATCCGTAGCACCTTTCAGACCCCACTTAATGGACCACATCATTTCCTCCGTGGCCAGAACACGGCTCACCCGTGCCTTCAGTCGATTTTTAGAGGGTGCCTGATTCAATAGCGTGCCAGTGCCAACGATGGCTTCACTCATCCACGTTCGGTAATCGCCGATCACTTTTTGTATCTCCAACGTGGCCAATTTCTCGTTCAATCCGCATTCCACGAGACCCAAAATGCTGCTCACGCATTCGTAACAGTCAGTACGATCATTACTTCACACTCTGGATCGGGCTAATACGTACTTGGACTGAACAATCCGCCTGGCTTCTTTCGCAAACTCCTCAGTGCTGGACAAGTCATGTAGAAGCGCGCGCTCGAACAAATCGTGTTTAAGTGTACCTAGAAAAGCCTTTTCGTTTGTCGTGTGATTAACTGCTAGTGTTTCCTGGAGGACAGCTCGCCGTAAGCAACCAAAGCTCGTCGTCACCCTTGTAGGAGATACCTGTGGTCGAGCAAAGCAGCAAAACAGACAAATATGAAACAAGGCACTCGTTCCAGCTAATAGACTGCTAAATGTACCAGAATGTCCGGGTGAACAACCACGAAATTGTGTGCGTTATCCACCTGTATGCGCAACGGTTGCCCATTTACTCGATTCTCATACTCATTTTGCGAGGTAATCCCGTTGTCGTCCTGCACAGTAAACACAATGTTGATAGTGTCGCCAGCGTCAACAACCACATCATACCAGTCGTCGCTCAGCAGAGCCTCCAGCTGCACATCCTGGTCATCTAACAGGCGCAAAAGGAGCGAGCGGTCAGCAACATTGCGGTCGATTTCCAAGACCAAAAAGCGCTTGTAGCTCTCGAGCGACCGGGTCGCGTTAGCTGTTTCGGTGTCATGCATTGGTCGCACCGCTATAGCCGATACGTTCGATGACAGCATCGATTGAGATCCCTTCACCTCATGAAATGAAACCGGTGGTACGGGCCGTGCATTTGGCACAACCGTTTGCGCTGCGACGAACTTCAACTGCGAATGTGGAGTGGCCTTCAACGGAGCCTTCTGACTCTGGAGCTGGTCGAGCAAAGCCCACGACTCATCGGTCAAGTCGTCAAAAATGTCTGTCTCTACCACCGTTGGCTCCCCCGACACCTTCACAGCCTCCTGTGTACTACTAACATGGCTACCACCATCAATTGGGTTCGGCAAATTGCTCGCCACTAAAGACTCGCCAGCGACACAAATTCGATCCGCCTCTTGCATCTTATCCACTTTCCGTGTTTCTAGCGACTGCGCCCCCGTCGAGGAATAACTCGAGCCAGCAGTCGCTGTCATAAAAAGTTCCTCAGTCGAGTCAGCAACAACTTCAGGCGTAGTCAAAGCCCGTTGATACAAACAGAAAGGCTGTTGCTTGTCCAGAGACGACACTCTGGCGCCTGTGACAGCTCTGGCTCCCTCGGGACTTGCATATTTCTGCTCCAATGTACTAAACAGCTCATCCTGCAACACTCTTGTCTCAGTCACCCGCTGTCTTCCACCAGAAGAATCAGATGCTTTTGATTCATGAGACGAGTCATTGTCGCCTCTCATTGGTCGACGGAGCTCTAACGGTCTCGAAACAGCTATTGCCACGACCAAAGTATCAACCTCTACTTAGTCATACACCACCATCATCAATCCCCTCATTAGTCATATATCACCCCACCTTTCTCCTCTTCCCACGTGCTTGTCTTCAACCGACTCGAACAACCTGCACGACCACGTCCCTTGTCCACGCCACCGCTAGAAGAAGACGAGTGCTCGCTTTCGTGGTCGAGGCGACCTACAAAGCCCTGCACTTCCCTCCGAAACGCCATTTTGCCTGTCCCGGACGCCTTCAACTTCTTGTTCGCGGGCGAGTCTTTCCACACGATCTTGGACTCGATACGAGCCAGTACAGGCGTATTATTGGCGGCAGCACGGGCTTTCTTCGTCTTCTTATTGCCGCGACGAGGCGTCGCCGGGTCTGAGCGCTGACGTTTGCGCCGAAGCGAGCGGGACTTGTGCATGGTATTGAGGCGCTGTATTCCTCGACTGGTGAACAGAGGGTGGAGGAGTATTCCTGATGAGAAGTGACTTGGAGCAGCCCTGAAATGCGCAATGTTCGTTTCAACCACTATTGTATGCAGAGTAATCACGAAAGACAAGTAGACGTAACGGTTACGTTCTGGGTTGCCAAAAAAACACTTTTTATACAATGTTCGTGAACTTTTATCTTGTAGAACAGCTCCATGGATCGTTGTATGGTTGGATAGGAAGAAAGTACTCCTTCAGTTCATTGCATGGCTGACAAGGGTACAGGTACTAGTATGATAGATACCTGTAACGGGGCACCCTGAAGCTTGTACTGGTGACAGTACAAGCTACTTATTCTGATGACAGAATAAGGCGGTGCCTCGGAACTTTACGTACACTCGCACGTGCAGAGGAAGACGGTAAGAAGAAGCGAGTACTTGGTTAAAGTAAAAAGTAGAACTGTATTTATAATAGTTAATGTCTGCAATAAATCACTATTTATCTTCATCTAACTATGTCTAAATACAAATGTGTAAATCAGTTATCTGCTCACCACTCATTGCGTGCGTCTGTCGTGGCGCGTCTTCGTTGGTTGATATAATGGCCTATATCAACCAATTAGGAACTACTTGTAAGTGCTACAGAATATTTGTCCTCATGACAATATTCTGAGAATATAACTCTTATAGTTATATTCTAATAACAATTTCTTATAAATTGTTATGTAACGATTCACCCCGTTACATAACCCCCCCCCTTAACCATCAGTCACTTTAGTGACTGATTGACTAAATGGATACTCGTCCAAAATCATTTGGGACAGGGTTTGCACTTGTTGGTCCGCGTCCACTTTCCAACATCTCATCGCATGGTTAACAAGCCCATGCGATGCGCGAGCAAGGACGCCGAGAGCGCGTCTGCACGTCTCTGTGCGGACGCCGAAGCAGAAACTACAGCAACTGATATCCCATCGGTTGCTGAATCGACTCAGCCTGTATCACCTGGTGATGCAGGCGCTGGTCATGAAGACACTCGTGTCTTCACAGAGTACGAGCTCGGTGTCTCGTACTCTCCTGATACGGATGACGGATCCGTATCGACGGCAATTGAATCCAAGCCGCCTGCCAAGCGTGGCATGGACGATGCTTTGCGTCGCAGCATCTTTGGTTCATCTGACGAATCAGATGAACCATCGCCGAAGCGAAGGCGCTCGAGGTCGCTAGACTCGGGCGCTAATAGTGGTGTCGGTTCTCCAATGGACACCACTTCACAGCGAGGTGCCAGTACTTCTGTCGGCACGTCGCAGGAAGAGCGGGACCGCAATATGTTGCGTCTCGCTCCAGAAAAGAAGGCATGGATGCCTCCTAAATCCGTCATGGATCACTTGTCGGCGACGACGAGTGATCGTTATCGAACACGATTGTTCGATTCGTCAAGGATCCATCACCTTGACCCCAGTGCGAAAGACTATCGCGCTGAACACGAATTCTTCATCGATGCTTTCTTCAGACATCGATGGTACAGTGGGAATCACAAACGTGATGGTCCCTCACTACTTCAGGCGTGGAACGCCTACATCCATAACCTCGAAGATGTAGGTCGTGACGCTTGGAACGACAAACTTATCAAAGCTCGTGATAAGTTTGAAAAGCAAACCCCGACAGGTGCACGCTACAATCTGCACCGTCTGTCAAGGGAGAAAGGGTTACCCTGCCTCTCTTGGGGAGACCCGTGCCCATGTTGTGTGAACAACTCTGCACGAGCACCTAAGGAGGCTTACCTCCTTACCAGCCCGTGGCGGCGCGTACGTGTCTCTACTGAGATGTACGAAGGGATTGACAACCTGAAATCCCTTTACGACCGTGCCGGGAAGACTTTCTCCGGCGGTCCTTCTGCGGCACAGGATGTGCCGCGTCGTACTGCTCAACCAGACCCAGTACGTCAATCATCAATTGGGAGCGGGGCTCCCAAGAATCCCAGGACGGGGGATAGCCGCGCCACCGGACGAGATAACTCGTCCGACGTCCGTTCACGTCGCGGTGGTTCAACAGCTGCTCAACTAGATAGCGCTGGCCACCGCGAGAGTCCTCTAATGGAGGTGGAGGAGGAGGAAAGACGCTCTCCACACGATCATGTGGATCGGTGTGTTCCCGAGAGCTTCTTTGATCGCGTAACGCAAGGGTTACGCGACGATCTCGAGCATGAGCGGAATAGGCGTCTCCAAATGGCGGACACTGCCTCGAAGCATCGAGCTGAGTTTGCCTTTGCTCAGCTCGAGAACGAGAGATCTCTGACATCTCTTCGTGACGAGCTAAGGGTAGCTCGTGGGATTGTTGATCGTTCTCGGGCTGAGATAACTGCTCTTCAGACCCTTGTTGATGCCCACCATCGGGAGCACAAGGCTCTCTGCTAGATGCTTGAGCGCAAGGGCGTTCTTCATCGGAAGAAGCAGCGTACTGATGGTACGGCTTAAGCCGACCAACGTAAAACGTGGGATGCGTTCGCATCTTACGTGGCAACTCGATCGTGTATGCATTGCCTAGGCGGTGCAATACACGAAATGGGCCAATGTACTTGGGTAGTAGTTTACTGCTACCCAAGTTAGTCACTACATGCTTTGGTAGATTAACCGTAGACAGTAGGACTAAGTCACCTTTGTTAAATAAAAGAGTGTTTGCCCTTCCATTCTTGTCAGCGTTTTGCTTTTGCTTGTCAACCGCTTCGGCGATGGAGTCTTGCACAAAACGGACTACCGTTTCACGAGCCAGTATGAACTCATCTGATGACTCGTTAGCTTCAGTGTGCTGTGAGCGCACTGCAGCAACAACAACCTTTTCTTCAGTGAGAGCTTCCGCACTCTCGCTGGGATCATTGTCTTCAGTGAGGGCTTCCGCACTCTCACTGGCATCATCTTCTTCATATCGATGTTATCGATATCGGCATCAAACGCAATGACTTCTTCGTCAGAGCGTGATGAGCGTGAACCAAATCGGTTTTTGCTCGCGCGAGTCCCTCCCCCCCTTAAACCAGAGTTACACTCTAGTAAGGTGGGTACACGCGGATGGCGTAAGCCATTCACGTAAAACGGTGTATGTGTCGTGGACGCATGCACCGAGTTGTTGATGGCAAACTCTACCATTGGCAAAAACTCACTCCAACTCTTAAAGGAGTGTACGTATCCTCGAAGTATCTCTTCAAGGACACGATTGGCATGTTCCGTCTGACCGTCTGACTCTGGATGATCAGATGTTGACATCTTCAAGCGCGTTCCGAGTGATTTGAACACGGACCGCCAGAAATCAGCAGTGAATCGTGGATCTCTGTCTGATACGAGTTCACGGGGCAACCCATGAAGTCGGAAGATGGTGTCAATAAAGACACAAGCACAGCCACTTGCCGTGATTGTCTCTGGTACAGCCACAAGGTGTACCATTTTGCTGAATCTGTCAACAAATACGAGAATACCCGTATTCCCGCGTGCGTCTTTGGGTAACCCGAAGACGAAATCCATTGAGATGGATTCCCAGCACTCAGCCGGAACCGGTATAGGCTGTAAAGGTGCACGCAGTGAAGGACTTGACTTCACTCGTTGGCAGACTTCGCATGCGCGAACACACTTTCGCACAAACTGATACTGGCGGGGCCAGTAAAAGTCTCGACTTACCGTGAGATATGTTTTCTCTCGGCCACGATGTCCTCCTATAGGAGCATCGTGATACTCGAACATGATCCGCAAACGCAGATCAGTATCATCTGGAATGACAACACGTGGTGTGTCACCAGAAACGGCTGTATAATACAGCAAACCGTTACGAGTAGTGTATCGATCTGATGCAGATCGATACGCAGACGACAATCGTTTCAACGATTCTCGAGATGGTTGGGAGAGATGTGACAACAACTTCACTATCTCACCATCTTGGGCGTATGCCCGCCTCACATCATCATACAACGTTGTAGATGGGACTGAGGACGTCATAACCGCAACAGTGACTGTCTCACTGTTGGGTTTCGCGACTGTTTCAAAGTCGGGACGACGTGAGAGTGCATCAGCGACGACATTAAGTCGTCCTGGTTTGTACTCGACCGTAAAGTTGTATTCCGCAAAGAATGACAACCACCGCGCGATTCGTTGAGAAAGGTGCGGGCTGTTCACTGCCGTGCGTAATGACGCATGGTCAGTGTAAACAACGAAGGGTCTATCTCCTAATAGATAGACTCTGAACTTCGCGAGTGCATACTTCATGGCAAGGAGTTCCTTGTCATGCACTGGATAGTTCCGCTCAGCTGGTTGCAGCTGACGCGACTGATAGCAGACGACGCGTTCAACGCCTTCAAGATCGTACTGCATTAATGCACAGCCGATTGCGAAATCGCTGGCATCACAGACCACATGAAATGGCCTGTCCTGATCGGCTATTGCTAGGACTGGGGATTGTATCAAGCTCTGCTTGATACCCTCAAAGGAGCGTTGACATTCAGCGTTCCATAACCACCTCTCGTTCTTTTTCAACAAACGAGAGAGGTGCACAGTCATCTCGGCGTAATTGCGTGAGTACTTATGCAAATACGCCGCTAGCTCAAGGAATTTTCGAAGACCTTTGACATCGACCGGCACAGGCCAGTCGGTGATCGCCTTGATCTTTTCGGGATCAGGACGTACACCGTTTTTACCAACGATGCACCCAAGAAGTGGTATTTCGCTTGCTGCAAATATATACACTTCTTGAGGTTAGCATACAATTGATGCTTTCGCATGATTGTAAGAACTTGTCGGACGTGGTACCTGTGAACCTCAACGTCCGACTTTCCATCCATAGCTCGACTATGGATGAATACGTCATCGAAATAACTCGGTGCGAATTCTCGTACTGGCCTCAACAGATGTGATACACATCTGTTGAACGTGGCAGGGGCATTACTGAGCCCTTGTGGCATTACTAGCCATTCCCAGAGCATGCCGCTAGGCGTGCTAACTGCGGTATAGGGTATATCCCGTTCCCGCATTAGGATTTGATAGAAGCCATCCATCAAATCCATGGACGAAAAGATGGTACTCTTTGACATACCATCAATGATTACGTCCTTCCTCGGTATCGGCGTCTGAGCCGGTACCGTTGCAGCGTTCAATTTGTTGAACGCGTGCACTATCCGCCACCCTCCTGTTGCTTTTCGCACACAGAAGGTCGGAGAGCTATGTGGGGAAGTTGATTCCCTCACATGGCCCGCTGCTAAACGATCGGCAAAGAACTTGTCGATCGCAAGTACTTGTTCACGAGGCAGTGGCCACTGCTTCATGACACAGTACTTCGAGCCTGGTTTAAGCTCGACCTCGTGTCGAATACCTTTATCCTTCGGTAATTCGCACGGAACAGTTTCAGGGAATGCATCCTTGAATTCAACCAAATCTTCATAGAGAGGATTTTTCTTGAGCGATTCCCATGATTGGGAGTCATGTCGCTCAATTCGTGTCTTTTCATCTAGGACACTCTCGTCCATAGATGAACTACTGAGAACTCTCTCGCTCTCAGTAAACACTGTTGCTGACCTTATGTCGGCTACACACTCGTCGTCAGCGACGAGTATGCAGATCTGCTTGACTTTGCCACTACGCAGATCACGCAAGAACCTTTTATGTTCGAGCGTTGGCAACTGAGTGATCTCCGAAGTCAACTTTGGAGGCGCAATCAGATCAAGTGTATAAGCGCCTACACATGATCCGTTATTGACTATGACATTCAATGTCTCCGTCATTTCCTGGGGACTTATTCCCTCAGGCTTCAAAGGACTTATTCCTTCGTCTTCCCGGGGACTTATTCCCGCGGGTTTCGGGGAACTTATTTCCGCCGTATTTGTAATCTTGGGACTTATTCCCTTTACTTCCTCTAGCTGGGGTTGCGCAACCACAGCGAGATCCTCTACGAAAGACTCTCCAGTCGATCTAGGATTATCGTTTCGCTTAACCTGAGCGATCGATTGTTTCTCTTCTAGATGTTCCCCTCTAGGGATACATCTTTGTCCCAGTCCACCCGACTTATTCGAGTGGTGGACCTTCGGCGCAGCCTGTGTTTCCTCACAGCCGCCGGAACTTTGCTCCGAAGTGTAACCGTTTGGTACACTAAGGTTTTGTGCAGTCGTACTAACGACCGTACCACAAGTGAGGCCATCGCACTCACTCGTAGTACATCCACACGCTTGTGGACGCTCCAAAACGTTCATCAGATGGCCATATGATGAACAAGCGGCAGGCATCGTTACTGTCCGATGTTGCCAGTTTACCCGTGGTTCGTACCTTCTGAGCCACGGTATTCCAAGGATGACATCGAATTTGTCATCCAAATCCAATACGATGAAGTCATCGTCATATTGGGTATCTTCTAGCGCATAGTGAATCTTCACTATACGCTTCATGACGGTTACGGATGCGCCTGTCGCAAGACGTACCGCCATCCTCGTAGGAGGTGTGTCACATTCACTGAATTTAAAGTGACCATCTTCTAGCGATTGGCGTCGCACAAAATTGTTGGACGCCCCACAATCGACTAGAGCTCGAAGGGACAACTTATTCGTCAATTCGAGTTTCAAGGTAATGAGTGAGACCTCATTACCTAGAGCAGCAACGCACAACGTTTGAGCGTTGGGAGCAACCTTCATCAAGAGGCCTACAAATTCTCTTGACGTTGCTAGACCAGTAGGGTGCTCCGCACCTACTGATCCTGTCCGTTTTTTGACGGTCCATCCCGTTGTTGCGTCTTTGCACCAACTGCGGACCCTCGTCCCTGCCCCTTTCTCATGGGTGGACGGTCACTACGCCCAGTGTCGCGAGACACTGGACGAGGGGCACTACACTCGTAAGCGTAGTGTCCTGTCTTTTGACATCTGTTGCATCTCTGCAACTTCTTGTAGCCTGTAGAGCGAGCCTTCTCGCTCTCTACATAACAGAGTTCCATCGGCTCTGGACCTCCGTTGTCATATCGTCTCGGTTGACGATATGATGTCGAGCTGGCGCGAGCCTGTCTCAGACTGAAGTCTTCCTGCTCCGCAATGGAAATGGCTTGTTCTAGTGAATCTAGTTCAAGCCGGAACAGGTGAGTCTTGACGGGACCATCCGCAAGACCCTGCATGAACACCAAAACCAACGTGTGTTCATCCACCGGATTGGAACTTATACAACTCGTGAGATGTCGTATATGTTGAGCGTAAGCGTGCACATCACGCTTACCCTGCTTGAGCTTCAAGAGTTCGGTTCGAGCCCTGAACTCAGCTCTAGGCGGTTCAAACGTTTGTCTGAGCCGCGACTTGAAGACTTCCAACGACCCAAACGCATATGGGTCGTGCAGCTTGAGCCCCAGTGCCCAAGTCTTGGCACGTCCTGCCAGATTTGACTGGGCAAATGCAACTTGCATCTCCCCGTCGTCGATGCGACGCGCCCTTATGGCGTCATCCAATTCGACGAACCATCTCAAGAGGGAGTCTTCTTCGACCCCCTATACTTTGAGATGTCAATTTTCAAAGTCTCGGGTCGACGCGAGTGCATCGACCCGCCAGCAGCAGCCTGCTGCTGCCTCAACAGTTCAAACTGTTGAGCACCTTGTTCTCTCAACAACTCTGCTTGTTGAGAACATGGTTGGTGAAGCAAGGCTACTTTCTCGCGTTCTGCGTCAAGTTCATTTTGAATGAACTTGGCGATAGTAGCATGTTGGGCATCTCTATTGAGAGCCTCTAGCATGACGCTAACAGCATGGATGCCCATGGTCGAACCCATTCGTTCAACCGCATCCCATTCGACATCGCTCAAATGGGAGTAGCCGTCACGCGTAGCGTGAAAGCTTTGGTCATCTTCATCATCCAACATATTCATGTTGGATGTGAACGCGGTCCTTGGACGGACTACGAAGTGCTACCAGGTGTAACGGGGCACCCTGAAGCTTGTACTGGTTACAGTACAAGCTACTTATTCTGATAACAGAATAAGGCGGTGCCTCGTAACTTCACGTACACTCGTACGTGCAGAGGAAGACGGTAAGAAGAAGCGAGTACTTGGTTAAAGTAAAAAGTAGAACTGTATTTAGTATAGTTAATGTCTGCAATAAATCCCTATTTATCTTCATCTAACTATGTCTAAATACAAATGTGTAAATCAGTTATCTGCTCACCACTCATTGCGTGCGTCTGTCGTGGCGCGTCTTCGTTGGTTGATATAATGGCCTATATCAACCAATTAGGAACTGCTTGTAAGTGCAGCAGAATATTTGTCCTTATGACAATATTCTGAGAATTAAACTCTTACAGTTATATTCTATTAACAATTTCTTATAAATTGTTATGTAACGATTCACCCCGTTACAATACCTATGTCGAAGATTGGCTTGTCAGAACTGGTGGTAAGCTAAAAGAACGAACACGGGGATAACATCTCTATTCGAAATTGGCTGCATGGGTGCGGGATGTGGATCCGACTTTGATGGTAATAGTGCAGGCGGAGGAGATAAAGTACAGTGGATATACTTGTTTCCATCCCGAACGTCACATCGACTCAACTCAGCGATTACGAGCTCGTCGTCATTCTTGATTGCTGGGTAGATTGATGCTTGCTTTCAGTACGAGAAATATCTGCGTTGCATCGCAAGTCTTACCTTGTAAGCTCACAGATTGTCGGTTCACTACGTAACTTTTTATACCGAAAGCTATAGACATTTGTACGACGGAGGATCTTATGGACGGGTCTGTCCGGAATAACATGCATAGAGTTATTCACTCCATCGCTAAAACGGAGATCGAGCTTGCGGTGCGCACTTTATCGACGATAGCAGAGTAAGTCTTTTTAGCGCTGCTTTGTGAGCGACAGCAGTTCTCATGGGTCTATTCATACGATTGTCGTCGCAGTGTAATCCTTTGGTGTCCTCACGCAAATGCGACTACGCCATCGGCGAGAGTCGCCAGGGTATCTATAAGCTCTGTTTTATGAGTGCTGTATCTGACGGAACCTGTAACGGGGCACCCTGAAGCTTGTACTGGTTACAGTACAAGCTACTTATTCTGATAACAGAATAAGGCGGTGCCTCGTAACTTCACGTACACTCGTACGTGCAGAGGAAGACGGTAAGAAGAAGCGAGAACTTGGTTAAAGTAAAAAGTAGAACTGTATTTATAATAGTTAATGTCTGCAATAAATCCCTATTTATCTTCATCTAACTATGTCTAAATACAAATGTGTAAATCAGTTATCTGCTCACCACTCATTGCGTGCGTCTGTCGTGGCGCGTCTTCGTTGGTTGATATAATGGCCTATATCAACCAATTAGGAACTACTTGTAAGTGCTACAGAATATTTGTCCTTATGACAATATTCTGAGAATATAACTCTTATAGTTATATTCTATTAACAATTTCTTATAAATTGTTATGTAACGATTCACCCCGTTACATAACCCCCCCCTTAACCATCAGTCACTTTAGTGACTGATTGACTAAATGGATACTCGTCCAAAATCATTTGGGACAGGGTTTGCACTTGTTGGTCCGCGTCCACTTTCCAACATCTCATCGCATGGTTAACAAGCCCATGCGATGCGCGAGCAAGGCCGCCGAGAGCGCGTCTGCACGTCTCTGTGCGGACGCCGAAGCAGAAACAACAGCAACTGATGTCCCATCGGTTGCTGAAGCAACTCAGCCTGTGTCACCTGGTGATGCAGGCGCTGGTCATGAAGACACTCGTGTCTTCACAGAGTACGAGCTCGGTGTCTCGTACTCTCCTGATACGGATGACGGATCCGTATCGACGGCAATTGAATCCAAGCCGCCTGCCAAGCGTGGCATGGACGATGCTTTGCGTCGCAGCATCTTTGGTTCATCTGATTCATCAGATGAACCATCGCCGAAGCGAAGGCGCTCGAGGTCGCTAGACTCGGGCGCTAATAGTGGTGTCGGTTCTCCAATGGACACCACTTCATAGCGAGGTGCCAGTGCTTCTGTCGGCACGTCGCAGGAAGAGCGGGACCGCAATGTCTTGTGTCTCGCTCCAGAAAAGAAGGCATGGATGCCTCCGAAATCCGTCATGGATCACTTGTCGGCGACGACGAGTGATCGCTATCGAACACGATTGTTCGATTCGTCAAGGATCCATCACCTTGACCCCAGCGCGAAAGACTATCGCGCTGAACACGAATTCTTCATCGATGCTTTCTTTAGACATCGATGGTACAGTGGGAATCACAAACGTGATGGTCCCTCACTACTTCAGGCGTGGAACGCCTACATCCATAACCTCGAAGATGTAGGTCGTGACGCTTGGAACGACAAACTTATCAAAGCTCGTGATAAGTTTGAAAAGCAAACCCCGACAGGTGCACGCTACAATCTGCACCGTCTGTCAAGGGAGAAAGGGTTACCCTGCCTCTCTTGGGGAGACCCGTGCCCATGTTGTGTGAACAACTCTGCACGAGCACCTAAGGAGGCTTACCTCCTTACCAGCCCGTGGCGGCGCGTACGTGTCTCTACTGAGATGTACGAAGGGATTGACAACCTGAAATCCCTTTACGACCGTGCCGGGAAGACTTTCTCCGGCGGTCCTTCTGCGGCACAGGATGTGCCGCGTCGTACTGCTCAACCAGACCCAGTACGTCAATCATCAATTGGGAGCGGGGCTCCCAAGAATCCCAGGACGGGGGATAGCCGCGCCACCGGACGAGATAACTCGTCCGACGTCCGTTCACGTCGCGGTGGTTCAACAGCTGCTCAACTAGATAGCGCTGGCCACCGCGAGAGTCCTCTAATGGAGGTGGAGGAGGAGGAAAGACGCTCTCCACACGATCATGTGGATCGGTGTGTTCCCGAGAGCTTCTTTGATCGCGTAACGCAAGGGTTACGCGACGATCTCGAGCATGAGCGGAATAGGCGTCTCCAAATGGCGGACACTGCCTCGAAGCATCGAGCTGAGTTTGCCTTTGCTCAGCTCGAGAACGAGAGATCTCTGACATCTCTTCGTGACGAGCTAAGGGTAGCTCGTGGGATTGTTGATCGTTCTCGGGCTGAGATAACTGCTCTTCAGACCCTTGTTGATGCCCACCATCGGGAGCACAAGGCTCTCTGCTAGATGCTTGAGCGCAAGGGCGTTCTTCATCGGAAGAAGCAGCGTACTGATGGTACGGCTTAAGCCGACCAACGTAAAACGTGGGATGCGTTCGCATCTTACGTGGCAACTCGATCGTGTATGCATTGCCTAGGCGGTGCAATACACGAAATGGGCCAATGTACTTGGGTAGTAGTTTACTGCTACCCAAGTTAGTCACTACATGCTTTGGTAGATTAACCGTAGACAGTAGGACTAAGTCACCTTTGTTAAATAAAAGAGTGTTTGCCCTTCCATTCTTGTCAGCGTTTTGCTTTTGCTTGTCAACCGCTTCGGCGATGGAGTCTTGCACAAAACGGACTACCGTTTCACGAGCCAGTATGAACTCATCTGATGACTCGTTAGCTTCAGTGTGCTGTGAGCGCACTGCAGCAACAACAACCTTTTCTTCAGTGAGAGCTTCCGCACTCTCGCTGGGATCATTGTCTTCAGTGAGGGCTTCCGCACTCTCACTGGCATCATCTTCTTCATATCGATGTTATCGATATCGGCATCAAACGCAATGACTTCTTCGTCAGAGCGTGATGAGCGTGAACCAAATCGGTTTTTGCTCGCGCGAGTCCCTCCCCCCTTAAACCAGAGTTACACTCTAGTAAGGTGGGTACACGCGGATGGCGTAAGCCATTCACGTAAAACGGTGTATGTGTCGTGGACGCATGCACCGAGTTGTTGATGGCAAACTCTACCATTGGCAAAAACTCACTCCAACTCTTAAAGGAGTGTACGTATCCTCGAAGTATCTCTTCAAGGACACGATTGGCACGTTCCGTCTGACCGTCTGACTCTGGATGATCAGATGTTGACATCTTCAAGCGCGTTCCGAGTGATTTGAACACGGACCGCCAGAAATCAGCAGTGAATCGTGGATCTCTGTCTGATACGAGTTCACGGGGCAACCCATGAAGTCGGAAGATGGTGTCAATAAAGACACAAGCACAGCCACTTGCCGTGATTGTCTCTGGTACAGCCACAAGGTGTACCATTTTGCTGAATCTGTCAACAAATACGAGAATACCCGTATTCCCGCGTGCGTCTTTGGGTAACCCGAAGACGAAATCCATTGAGATGGATTCCCAGCACTCAGCCGGAACCGGTATAGGCTGTAAAGGTGCACGCAGTGAAGGACTTGACTTCACTCGTTGGCAGACTTCGCATGCGCGAACACACTTTCGCACAAACTGATACTGGCGGGGCCAGTAAAAGTCTCGACTTACCGTGAGATATGTCTTCTCTCGGCCACGATGTCCTCCTATAGGAGCATCGTGATACTCGAACATGATCCGCAAACGCAGATCAGTATCATCTGGAATGACAACACGTGGTGTGTCACCAGAAACGGCTGTATAATACAGCAAACCGTTACGAGTAGTGTATCGATCTGATGCAGATCGATACGCAGACGACAATCGTTTCAACGATTCTCGAGATGGTTGGGAGAGATGTGACAACAACTTCACTATCTCACCATCTTGGGCGTATGCCCGCCTCACATCATCATACAACGTTGTAGATGGGACTGAGGACGTCATAACCGCAACAGTGACTGTCTCACTGTTGGGTTTCGCGACTGTTTCAAAGTCGGGACGACGTGAGAGTGCATCAGCGACGACATTAAGTCGTCCTGGTTTGTACTCGACCGTAAAGTTGTATTCCGCAAAGAATGACAACCACCGCGCGATTCGTTGTGAAAGGTGCGGGCTGTTCACTGCCGTGCGTAATGACGCATGGTCAGTGTAAACAACGAAGGGTCTATCTCCTAATAGATAGACTCTGAACTTCGCGAGTGCATACTTCATGGCAAGGAGTTCCTTGTCATGCACTGGATAGTTCCGCTCAGCTGGTTGCAGCTGACGCGACTGATAGCAGACGACGCGTTCAACGCCTTCAAGATCGTACTGCATTAATGCACAGCCGATTGCGAAATCGCTGGCATCACAGACCACATGAAATGGCCTGTCCTGATCGGCTATTGCTAGGACTGGGGATTGTATCAAGCTCTGCTTGATACCCTCAAAGGAGCGTTGACATTCAGCGTTCCATAACCACCTCTCGTTCTTTTTCAACAAACGAGAGAGGTGCACAGTCATCTCGGCGTAATTGCGTGAGTACTTATGCAAATACGCCGCTAGCCCAAGGAATTTTCGAAGACCTTTGACATCGACCGGCACAGGCCAGTCGGTGATCGCCTTGATCTTTTCGGGATCAGGACGTACACCGTTTTTACCAACGATGCACCCAAGAAGTGGTATTTCGCTTGCTGCAAATATATACACTTCTTGAGGTTAGCATACAATTGATGCTTTCGCATGATTGTAAGAACTTGTCGGACGTGGTACCTGTGAACCTCAACGTCCGACTTTCCATCCATAGCTCGACTATGGATGAATACGTCATCGAAATAACTCGGTGCGAATTCTCGTACTGGCCTCAACAGATGTGATACACATCTGTTGAACGTGGCAGGGGCATTACTGAGCCCTTGTGGCATTACTAGCCATTCCCAGAGCATGCCGCTAGGCGTGCTAACTGCGGTATAGGGTATATCCCGTTCCCGCATTAGGATTTGATAGAAGCCATCCATCAAATCCATGGACGAAAAGATGGTACTCTTTGACATACCATCAATGATTACGTCCTTCCTCGGTATCGGCGTCTGAGCCGGTACCGTTGCAGCGTTCAATTTGTTGAACGCGTGCACTATCCGCCACCCTCCTGTTGCTTTTCGCACACAGAAGGTCGGAGAGCTATGTGGGGAAGTTGATTCCCTCACATGGCCCGCTGCTAAACGATCGGCAAAGAACTTGTCGATCGCAAGTACTTGTTCACGAGGCAGTGGCCACTGCTTCATGACACAGTACTTCGAGCCTGGTTTAAGCTCGACCTCGTGTCGAATACCTTTATCCTTCGGTAATTCGCACGGAACAGTTTCAGGGAATGCATCCTTGAATTCAACCAAATCTTCATAGAGAGGATTTTTCTTGAGCGATTCCCATGATTGGGAGTCATGTCGCTCAATTCGTGTCTTTTCATCTAGGACACTCTCGTCCATAGATGAACTACTGAGAACTCTCTCGCTCTCAGTAAACACTGTTGCTGACCTTATGTCGGCTACACACTCGTCGTCAGCGACGAGTATGCAGATCTGCTTGACTTTGCCACTACGCAGATCACGCAAGAACCTTTTATGTTCGAGCGTTGGCAACTGAGTGATCTCCGAAGTCAACTTCGGAGGCGCAATCAGATCAAGTGTATAAGCGCCTACACTTGATCCGTTATTGACTATGACATTCAATGTCTCTGTCATTTCCTGGGGACTTATTCCCTCAGGCTTCAAAGGACTTATTCCTTCGTCTTCCCGGGGACTTATTCCCGCGGGTTTCGGGGAACTTATTTCCGCCGTATTTGTAATCTTGGGACTTATTCCCTTTACTTCCTCTAGCTAGGGTTGCGCAACCACAGCGAGATCCTCTACGAAAGACTCTCCAGTCGATCTAGGATTATCGTTTCGCTTAACCTGAGCGATCGATTGTTTCTCTTCTAGATGTTCCCCTCTAGGGATACATCTTTGTCCCAGTCCACCCGACTTATTCGAGTGGTGGACCTTCGGCGCAGCCTGTGTTTCCTCACAGCCGCCGGAACTTTGCTCCGAAGTGTAACCGTTTGGTACACTAAGGTTTTGTGCAGTCGTACTAACGACCGTACCACAAGTGAGGCCATCGCACTCACTCGTAGTACATCCACACGCTTGTGGACGCTCCAAAACGTTCATCAGATGGCCATATGATGAACAAGCGGCAGGCATCGTTACTGTCCGATGTTGCCAGTTTACCCGTGGTTCGTACCTTCTGAGCCACGGTATTCCAAGGATGACATCGAATTTGTCATCCAAATCCAATACGATAAAGTCATCGTCATATTGGGTATCTTCTAGCGCATAGTGAATCTTCACTATACGCTTCATGACGGTTACGGATGCGCCTGTCGCAAGACGTACCGCCATCCTCGTAGGAGGTGTGTCACATTCACTGAATTTAAAGTGACCATCTTCTAGCGATTGGCGTCGCACAAAATTGTTGGACGCCCCACAATCGACTAGAGCTCGAAGGGACAACTTATTCGTCAATTCGAGTTTCAAGGTAATGAGTGAGACCTCATTACCTAGAGCAGCAACGCACAACGTTTGAGCGTTGGGAGCAACCTTCATCAAGAGGCCTACAAATTCTCTTGACGTTGCTAGACCAGTAGGGTGCTCCGCACCTACTGATCCTGTCCGTTTTTTGACGGTCCATCCCGTTGTTGCGTCTTTGCACCAACTGCGGACCCTCGTCCCTGCCCCTTTCTCATGGGTGGACGGTCACTACGCCCAGTGTCGCGAGACACTGGACGAGGGGCACTACACTCGTAAGCGTAGTGTCCTGTCTTTTGACATCTGTTGCATCTCTGCAACTTCTTGTAGCCTGTAGAGCGAGCCTTCTCGCTCTCTACATAACAGAGTTCCATCGGCTCTGGACCTCCGTTGTCATATCGTCTCGGTTGACGATATGATGTCGAGCTGGCGCGAGCCTGTCTCAGACTGAAGTCTTCCTGCTCCGCAATGGAAATGGCTTGTTCTAGTGAATCTAGTTCAAGCCGGAACAGGTGAGTCTTGACGGGACCATCCGCAAGACCCTGCATGAACACCAAAACCAACGTGTGTTCATCCACCGGATTGGAACTTATACAACTCGTGAGATGTCGTATATGTTGAGCGTAAGCGTGCACATCACGCTTACCCTGCTTGAGCTTCAAGAGTTCGGTTCGAGCCCTGAACTCAGCTCTAGGCGGTTCAAACGTTTGTCTGAGCCGCGACTTGAAGACTTCCAACGACCCAAACGCATATGGGTCGTGCAGCTTGAGCCCCAGTGCCCAAGTCTTGGCACGTCCTGCCAGATTTGACTGGGCAAATGCAACTTGCATCTCCCCGTCGTCGATGCGACGCGCCCTTATGGCGTCATCCAATTCGACGAACCATCTCAAGAGGGAGTCTTCTTCGACCCCCCTATACTTTGAGATGTCAATTTTCAAAGTCTCGGGTCGACGCGAGTGCATCGACCCGCCAGCAGCAGCCTGCTGCTGCCTCAACAGTTCAAACTGTTGAGCACCTTGTTCTCTCAACAACTCTGCTTGTTGAGAACATGGTTGGTGAAGCAAGGCTACTTTCTCGCGTTCTGCGTCAAGTTCATTTTGAATGAACTTGGCGATAGTAGCATGTTGGGCATCTCTATTGAGAGCCTCTAGCATGACGCTAACAGCATGGATGCCCATGGTCGAACCCATTCGTTCAACCGCATCCCATTCGACATCGCTCAAATGGGAGTAGCCGTCACGCGTAGCGTGAAAGCTTTGGTCATCTTCATCATCCAACATATTCATGTTGGATGTGAACGCGGTCCTTGGACGGACTACGAAGTGCTACCAGGTGTAACGGGGCACCCTGAAGCTTGTACTGGTTACAGTACAAGCTACTTATTCTGATAACAGAATAAGGCGGTGCCTCGTAACTTCACGTACACTCGTACGTGCAGAGGAAGACGGTAAGAAGAAGCGAGTACTTGGTTAAAGTAAAAAGTAGAACTGTATTTATAATAGTTAATGTCTGCAATAAATCCCTATTTATCTTCATCTAACTATGTCTAAATACAAATGTGTAAATCAGTTATCTGCTCACCACTCATTGCGTGCGTCTGTCGTGGCGCGTCTTCGTTGGTTGATATAATGGCCTATATCAACCAATTAGGAACTGCTTGTAAGTGCAGCAGAATATTTGTCCTTATGACAATATTCTGAGAATATAACTCTTATAGTTATATTCTATTAACAATTTCTTATAAATTGTTATGTAACGATTCACCCCGTTACAATACCTATGTCGAAGATTGGCTTGTCAGAACTGGTGGTAAGCTAAAAGAACGAACACGGGGATAACATCTCTATTCGAAATTGGCTGCATGGGTGCGGGATGTGGATCCGACTTTGATGGTAATAGTGCAGGCGGAGGAGATAAAGTACAGTGGATATACTTGTTTCCATCCCGAACGTCACATCGACTCAACTCAGCGATTACGAGCTCGTCGTCATTCTTGATTGCTGGGTAGATTGATGCTTGCTTTCAGTACGAGAAATATCTGCGTTGCATCGCAAGTCTTACCTTGTAAGCTCACAGATTGTCGGTTCACTACGTAACTTTTTATACCGAAAGCTATAGACATTTGTACGACGGAGGATCTTATGGACGGGTCTGTCCGGAATAACATGCATAGAGTTATTCACTCCATCGCTAAAACGGAGATCGAGCTTGCGGTGCGCACTTTATCGACGATAGCAGAGTAAGTCTTTTTAGCGCTGCTTTGTGAGCGACAGCAGTTCTCATGGGTCTATTCATACGATTGTCGTCGCAGTGTAATCCTTTGGTGTCCTCACGCAAATGCGACTACGCCATCGGCGAGAGTCGCCAGGGTATCTATAAGCTCTGTTTTATGAGTGCTGTATCTGACGGAACCTGTAACGGGGCACCCTGAAGCTTGTACTGGTTACAGTACAAGCTACTTATTCTGATAACAGAATAAGGCGGTGCCTCGTAACTTCACGTACACTCGTACGTGCAGAGGAAGACGGTAAGAAGAAGCGAGAACTTGGTTAAAGTAAAAGTAGAACTGTATTTATAATAGTTAATGTCTGCAATAAATCCCTATTTATCTTCATCTAACTATGTCTAAATACAAATGTGTAAATCAGTTATCTGCTCACCACTCATTGCGTGCGTCTGTCGTGGCGCGTCTTCGTTGGTTGATATAATGGCCTATATCAACCAATTAGGAACTACTTGTAAGTGCTACAGAATATTTGTCCTTATGACAATATTCTGAGAATATAACTCTTATAGTTATATTCTATTAACAATTTCTTATAAATTGTTATGTAACGATTCACCCCGTTACATCACCCCCCCCTTAACCATCAGTCACTTTAGTGACTGATTGACTAAATGGATACTCGTCCAAAATCATTTGGGACAGGGTTTGCACTTGTTGGTCCGCGTCCACTTTCCAACATCTCATCGCATGGTTAACAAGCCCATGCGATGCGCGAGCAAGGCCGCCGAGAGCGCGTCTGCACGTCTCTGTGCGGACGCCGAAGCAGAAACAACAGCAACTGATGTCCCATCGGTTGCTGAAGCAACTCAGCCTGTGTCACCTGGTGATGCAGGCGCTGGCCATGAAGACACTCGTGTCTTCACAGAGTACGAGCTCGGTGTCTCGTACTCTCCTGATACGGATGACGGATCCGTATCGACGGCAATTGAATCCAAGCCGCCTGCCAAGCGTGGCATGGACGATGCTTTGCGTCGCAGCATCTTTGGTTCATCTGATTCATCAGATGAACCATCGCCGAAGCGAAGGCGCTCGAGGTCGCGAGACTCGGGCGCTAATAGTGGTGTCGGTTCTCCAATGGACACCACTTCATAGCGAGGTGCCAGTGCTTCTGTCGGCACGTCGCAGGAAGAGCGGGACCGCAATGTCTTGCGTCTCGCTCCAGAAAAGAAGGCATGGATGCCTCCGAAATCCGTCATGGATCACTTGTCGGCGACGACGAGTGATCGCTATCGAACACGATTGTTCGATTCGTCAAGGATCCATCACCTTGACCCCAGCGCGAAAGACTATCGCGCTGAACACGAATTCTTCATCGATGCTTTCTTTAGACATCGATGGTACAGTGGGAATCACAAACGTGATGGTCCCTCACTACTTCAGGCGTGGAACGCCTACATCCATAACCTCGAAGATGTAGGTCGTGACGCTTGGAACGACAAACTTATCAAAGCTCGTGATAAGTTTGAAAAGCAAACCCCGACAGGTGCACGCTACAATCTGCACCGTCTGTCAAGGGAGAAAGGGTTACCCTGCCTCTCTTGGGGAGACCCGTGCCCATGTTGTGTGAACAACTCTGCACGAGCACCTAAGGAGGCTTACCTCCTTACCAGCCCGTGGTGGCGCGTACGTGTCTCTACTGAGATGTACGAAGGGATTGACAACCTGAAATCCCTTTACGACCATGCCGGGAAGACTTTCTCCGGCGGTCCTTGTGCGGCACAGGATGTGCCGCGTCGTACTGCTCAACCAGACCCAGTACGTCAATCATCAATTGGGAGCGGGGCTCCCAAGAATCCCAGGACGGGGGATAGCCGCGCCACCGGACGAGATAACTCGTCCGACGTCCGTTCACATCGCGGTGGTTCAACAGCTGCTCAACTAGATAGCGCTGGCCACCGCGAGAGTCCTCTAATGGAGGTGGAGGAGGAGGAAAGACGCTCTCCACACGATCATGTGGATCGGTGTGTTCCCGAGAGCTTCTTTGATCGCGTAACGCAAGGGTTACGCGACGATCTCGAGCATGAGCGGAATAGGCGTCTCCAGATGGTGGACACTGCCTCGAAGCATCGAGCTGAGTTTGCCTTTGCTCAGCTCGAGAACGAGAGATCTCTGACATCTCTTCGTGACGAGCTAAGGGTAGCTCGTGGGATTGTTGATCGTTCTCGGGCTGAGATAACTGCTCTTCAGACCCTTGTTGATGCCCACCATCGGGAGCACAAGGCTCTCTGCGAGATGCTTGAGCGCAAGGGCGTTCTTCATCGGAAGAAGCAGCGTACTGATGGTACGGCTTAAGCCGACCAACGTAAAACGTGGGATGCGTTCGCATCTTACGTGGTAACTCGATCGTGTATGCATTGCCTAGGCGGTGCAATACACGAAATGGGCCAATGTACTTGGGTAGTAGTTTACTGCTACCCAAGTTAGTCACTACATGCTTTGGTAGATTAACCGTAGACAGTAGGACTAAGTCACCTTTGTTAAATAAAAGAGTGTTTGCCCTTCCATTCTTGTCAGCGTTTTGCTTTTGCTTGTCAACCGCTTCGGCGATGGAGTCTTGCACAAAACGGACTACCGTTTCACGAGCCAGTATGAACTCATCTGATGACTCGTTAGCTTCAGTGTGCTGTGAGCGCACTGCAGCAACAACAACCTTTTCTTCAGTGAGGGCTTCCGCACTCTCACTGGCATCATCTTCTTCATATCGATGTTATCGATATCGGCATCAAACGCAATGACTTCTTCGTCAGAGCGTGATGAGCGTGAACCAAATCGGTTTTTGCTCGCGCGAGTCCCTCCCCCCCTTAAACCAGAGTTACACTCTAGTAAGGTGGGTACACGCGGATGGCGTAAGCCATTCACGTAAAACGGTGTATGTGTCGTGGACGCATGCACCGAGTTGTTGATGGCAAACTCTACCATTGGCAAAAACTCACTCCAACTCTTAAAGGAGTGTACGTATCCTCGAAGTATCTCTTCAAGGACACGATTGGCATGTTCCGTCTGACCGTCTGACTCTGGATGATCAGATGTTGACATCTTCAAGCGCGTTCCGAGTGATTTGAACACGGACCGCCAGAAATCAGCAGTGAATCGTGGATCTCTGTCTGATACGAGTTCACGGGGCAACCCATGAAGTCGGAAGATGGTGTCAATAAAGACACAAGCACAGCCACTTGCCGTGATTGTCTCTGGTACAGCCACAAGGTGTACCATTTTGCTGAATCTGTCAACAAATACGAGAATACCCGTATTCCCGCGTGCGTCTTTGGGTAACCCGAAGACGAAATCCATTGAGATGGATTCCCAGCACTCAGCCGGAACCGGTATAGGCTGTAAAGGTGCACGCAGTGAAGGACTTGACTTCACTCGTTGGCAGACTTCGCATGCGCGAACATACTTTCGCACAAACTGATACTGGCGGGGCCAGTAAAAGTCTCGACTTACCGTGAGATATGTTTTCTCTCGGCCACGATGTCCTCCTATAGGAGCATCGTGATACTCGAACATGATCCGCAAACGCAGATCAGTATCATCTGGAATGACAACACGTGGTGTGTCACCAGAAACGGCTGTATAATACAGCAAACCGTTACGAGTAGTGTATCGATCTGATGCAGATCGATACGCAGACGACAATCGTTTCAACGATTCTCGAGATGGTTGGGAGAGATGTGACAACAACTTCACTATCTCACAATCTTGGGCGTATGCCCGCCTCACATCATCATACAACGTTGTAGATGGGACTGAGGACGTCATAACCGCAACAGTGACTGTCTCACTGTTGGGTTTCGCGACTGTTTCAAAGTCGGGACGACGTGAGAGTGCATCAGCGACGACATTAAGTCGTCCTGGTTTGTACTCGACCGTAAAGTTGTATTCCGCAAATAATGACAACCACCGCGCGATTCGTTGAGAAAGGTGCGGGCTGTTCACTGCCGTGCGTAATGACGCATGGTCAGTGTAAACAACGAAGGGTCTATCTCCTAATAGATAGACTCTGAACTTCGCGAGTGCATACTTCATGGCAAGGAGTTCCTTGTCATGCACTGGATAGTTCCGCTCAGCTGGTTGCAGCTGACGCGACTGATAGCAGACGACGCGTTCAACGCCTTCAAGATCGTACTGCATTAATGCACAGCCGATTGCGAAATCGCTGGCATCACAGACCACATGAAATGGCCTGTCCTGATCGGCTATTGCTAGGACTGGGGATTGTATCAAGCTCTGCTTGATGCCCTCAAAGGAGCGTTGACATTCAGCGTTCCATAACCACCTCTCGTTCTTTTTCAACAAACGAGAGAGGTGCACAGTCATCTCGGCGTAATTGCGTGAGTACTTATGCAAATACGCCGCTAGCCCAAGGAATTTTCGAAGACCTTTGACATCGACCGGCACAGGCCAGTCGGTGATCGCCTTGATCTTTTCGGGATCAGGACGTACACCGTTTTTACCAACGATGCACCCAAGAAGTGGTATTTCGCTTGCTGCAAATATATACACTTCTTGAGGTTAGCATACAATTGATGCTTTCGCATGATTGTAAGAACTTGTCGGACGTGGTACCTGTGAACCTCAACGTCCGACTTTCCATCCATAGCTCGACTATGGATGAATACGTCATCGAAATAACTCGGTGCGAATTCTCGTACTGGCCTCAACAGATGTGATACACATCTGTTGAACGTGGCAGGGGCATTACTGAGCCCTTGTGGCATTACTAGCCATTCCCAGAGCATGCCGCTAGGCGTGCTAACTGCGGTATAGGGTATATCCCGTTCCCGCATTAGGATTTGATAGAAGCCATCCATCAAATCCATGGACGAAAAGATGGTACTCTTTGACATACCATCAATGATTACGTCCTTCCTCGGTATCGGCGTCTGAGCCGGTACCGTTGCAGCGTTCAATTTGTTGAACGCGTGCACTATCCGCCACCCTCCTGTTGCTTTTCGCACACAGAAGGTCGGAGAGCTATGTGGGGAAGTTGATTCCCTCACATGGCCCGCTGCTAAACGATCGGCAAAGAACTTGTCGATCGCAAGTACTTGTTCACGAGGCAGTGGCCACTGCTTCATGACACAGTGCTTCGAGCCTGGTTTAAGCTCGACCTCGTGTCGAATACCTTTATCCTTCGGTAATTCGCACGGAACAGTTTCAGGGAATGCATCCTTGAATTCAACCAAATCTTCATAGAGAGGATTTTTCTTGAGCGATTCCCATGATTGGGAGTCATGTCGCTCAATTCGTGTCTTTTCATCTAGGACACTCTCGTCCATAGATGAACTACTGAGAACTCTCTCGCTCTCAGTAAACACTGTTGCTGACCTTATGTCGGCTACACACTCGTCGTCAGCGACGAGTATGCAGATCTGCTTGACTTTGCCACTACGCAGATCACGCAAGAACCTTTTATGTTCGAGCGTTGGCAACTGAGTGATCTCCGAAGTCAACTTCGGAGGCGCAATCAGATCAAGTGTATAAGCGCCTACACATGATCCGTTATTGACTATGACATTCAATGTCTCCGTCATTTCCTGGGGACTTATTCCCTCAGGCTTCAAAGGACTTATTCCTTCGTCTTCCCGGGGACTTATTCCCGCGGGTTTCGGGGAACTTATTTCCGCCGTATTTGTAATCTTGGGACTTATTCCCTTTACTTCCTCTAGCTGGGGTTGCGCAACCACAGCGAGATCCTCTACGAAAGGCTCTCCAGTCGATCTAGGATTATCGTTTCGCTTAACCTGAGCGATCGATTGTTTCTCTTCTAGATGTTCCCCGCTAGGGATACATCTTTGTCCCAGTCCACCCGACTTATTCGAGTGGTGAACCTTCGGCGCAGCCTGTGTTTCCTCACAGCCGCCGGAACTTTGCTCCGAAGTGTAACGTGTGGTACACTAAGGTTTTGTGCAGTCGTACTAACGACCGTACCACAAGTGAGGCCATCGCACTCACTCGTAGTACATCCACACGCTTGTGGACGCTCCAAAACGTTCATCAGATGGCCATATGATGAACAAGCGGCAGGCATCGTTACTGTCCGATGTTGCCAGTTTACCCGTGGTTCGTACCTTCTGAGCCACGGTATTCCA